TGGTTTCTATATCGAGTCTCTATGCAAGGGGGCTGTACAAGCTTTGTAGAACAAACTAGGGCAATTTCGCTTTTTATTTTAACTGATATTGATAAAGAATATGATCAAAAGATGTTACTCTATTATATACTGATGCATTTATTGAAAGCTGGCTTTTATCTGCTTCGCTACTTGCGTATTATTAAAAAATGCCCATCTAATAATTACTCATACGCTCTAAAGTCTAAGTGAAGTCACGTTAAAATATTTTTAGCCGCTCTTTGTCTACATACATATTATATGTATGTATATATAGGGAATTACTTTTCCACTCAAGATATGAAGTAGCCTATGTCGCTTCGAATTTTCTCAAGATTCGGTATAATTCGTTAAAATTATAAATGACATAATAAAATAAAAGAATAAAAAAACTGAACAGCCATTCTGCAGGGTTTATGACTGCATAGACGATAAATAGCTTTCTGGAAGGCTGCTGAACTATATCATATATAAGAATCTACACCAAAATATTACGCTAATCCGTTACTCGATTTCGACGTGAAGGAAGGACAAATAAACAAACAAACATATAAATGTGAAAACATTTATAATATTATTATGGACGACACTCCATGGATTTCGCAGATCACGGTGTACAGGCAAATAAATAGACAAATACAAAGATACTAAAGTCCAAACACTCCTTGTGATATCGCATACGAGCTATTTGGGCTGAATATTAAAAAAAATTATAAGTACAAATATGAAGTATATAGCATACATATTATGTTAGTTTTAATAATAAACGTTTCCTGATTGTAAAATTCAATAATAAAAACCATGAAGTTTTAATATAAAATTGAAGCAAAAAGCTTGTTTGATGCGGCGAGGAAGGGAGAACTATAGAATTAAGTCAGAAACCACTTAATTAACTATACACTAACTAGCAGTATTGCAATTAATGTTAATAACAAGTACATTCTTTTTATTGTTACTTTATATTATAAAAAGTGTGTCACATTTTCTAGTTACATTTCGATGATGTTTTCCTAATCGATTCCGGCCACGGCGGCCAATCTCATTGAGACTAGCCAACAGCGCAGGAGATATTATAGTGCTCAAGTGTACGCGCAGACACAAGTGCACTCTCTATTCCCGTCACTCTCATACTCCGGTGGGACGACTGCTCGACACATTTCGATAGTCTAGTATTTACTTCAAAATAGCTCATCATATGAAAATAACTGGTATTTTTAAGTTAATTAGCAAAAGTACCTAAATTAGAAAAGGAGTTCCTGCAAAATATATTTTTTTTAAATATTTACAGTTAAGCAAAAAGATTAATGGTAATTCAAAATTTTTAAAACATTACATTTTTGAAAAAAAAAATACTCGCAGGGTAGTAATAAAAATTAATTCTCAAAGTAAAAAAAACAAAATAGATGTACTTTTGTTATCATATAAGTCCACAATAATGTTTAAATAATTACTTATAATATTAATCATCAAAGTTACTAAAAAAATCAGAAATGTTCTCAGTTCTCATGTTCTTTCTTTTATATAAATAAAAATGAATGTTGGTAAGCGCATAACTTAAGAATGGCTGGACCAATACGGCAAATTTTTTTTCGTACGTTCCTTAAGGTCCACGGGAAGTTTTAATAAACAGAAAAAATGAAAAATTAACGAAAAAAAAAATTAAAATTTATATGGCTAACGCTGGCTAATATCTATTTATATCTATTTAAAACGTACCTAGTGACGAACCCGAGCGCAGCGATGGTGAGCCGCTAGTATTTCAATAAAATACAAGAACACTGAATAATAATATAACCTTTTAATTACCTTATGAGTTATGTCTAAATCTATCATATTTAGGACGTTATCAGCTATAAATTTCTACAACTTTTTACTTGGTTAAATATTGTTTATCGTTGTATGCTGATAGTCCACACCGAAAAAATATATTAAAGCAATATAATAGAAACTCCCCTCTAAAATTTAAAATGGTATTATGTTTAAAGTAAGACATTACATACACTGCGCAACAATATTTTAGTGACACCTAGTAAATATTATGTTTGAAAAAGGACTTATCTCGTTCTGAGTGGAAAGAGTTTTTTCCACTCGTTGCACAATGGTCAAATAAAAAGACTATTTTAGGAACTTATAGCAAACTACAATGTCAATACAAAGCCATAATTGGTCATGGAATATTCATTAATATTTGTTCTGAAAGAATTTATTTTAACTTTAATGTGCGCATTTCATATCTACCTACATATATAGGTACCTACTTACTATAAATAAAGTTATTAGCCAGCGTTAGCTAATACATTTTATTATCATTTTCATGCAATTTTCATTTCGTGATGGTTTAATAGTTATTCTGCTATTCGGGGAGACAAATCCAACAAATCAAAGATCATAGAAATCGGTCCAGCAGTTCTTGAGTTATAAAAGGTTTAACCAACCCGACTTTACTTTATAATTATATAGATATAATTATCCAGAAATGTAATTTTCAGTATTTCAAAATTTTTTGTATTAATAAATTATGATAATAATAAATATGTTGGAACATTAACAAACAGCACTATCTAGATCCATGGTAAGCTACGAGGCTTGTGTTATGGATACCAGATAATACTATACATATATTTATTATATTACTTTAAATACATACATATTATAAATATATATAATACTATAATGCCTTGATGTCACCCTGAAAAATTTACTAAAACGGGGTTAACCGATTTGCGAAAAGTAAGGCATCATTTATTTGAATACAAATTCACATAAATGGTGAATTTTAATTACTATTCATATTAAAAACGTATGTATAATTATTACGAGAGGCATAAATCGTTTTCAATAGCTACATTTTTGTTCGTAGATCAAAAATTTTCTACATTAAAATATTTAATGAAACTACAAATGGTAAGGCCATGATAGAAATTTAGGCCTGAAAAGAACAAAAGCTTGCAATAATGTTTCGCGGCGAAGTGAACACTTGTCTTATGCTGTGTACTTAATGCGCTGTCAGGACAGACAAAAGGCTTTTTTAAAAGATTGTAAAAATATGGCCGACTCCCCATTGTGTGGCTCGCTTTATTCAAATTCTTTTCCTGCTCATTTCCCTATTTTTGTTGAAAGGATTAACAATAGTACAGGTACTGAAAGTGGTGTATTTAATTTGACAGGTATTTCCACCGTCATTTTTGTGTGTTTTTTTAAGATTTTTAGTATGAAAGTACATATATGAAAACAAATTAAAAAATTAATAATTTTAATGTTTTATTAACAAGTTACATAGAACTGAAAAAGGTTGATATAATATAATAAATAATTATAATAAATAAAATATAAATAGTATTAATTTATCAAATAGTTTTTGTTACAGGTTGGTATTAAAGCTATCATTTTGTATTAACTCATCTGTATGAGACCCTGTAACTGTATTTAGTTTCAAATAACTCCTGAAATTATAGTATTTTATATAAACATAGAAATTGGTAAAACGGCTTTGTCGAACAATCGAATCCCTGTATCTAATGGCTGGGCACTGGCTAATATAAAGGCTGTACTTAACGATTCGACGCTTGGTTTCACGTAAGACCAAACTGTTTTATCGCACTGATACATACATATGTATAATAAGAGTATAAAAGCCAAGCAAAAATTTACTTTAGATTGTCAAAAGAAGATTTTTTTTACAGTAATATTTAAATGTAAGGAAAATCAATGAAAATTCTACTGATAGTAAATAATTGCTTTCGAGTATTATACAAAATGGTTCTTATCGGTGCCGATTTATAAGATTTTTTTTACTAGTTTTTACGGATAGAATAGCCTATCATATGTCTCATAGCCTATCATTTGTCCTTGGGGACAAAAATTGGAATCTCTATAGCAGTTATAGCGTTTAAGGCAATAAGCAGACAGTCGAAGTAACTTTCACCTTGTATACGTACAATGTACATGAATATATAATATATAAAATCAAATTCAAATCAAAATATATTTTATCCAAATAGACTTTTACAAGTACTTTTGAATCGCCACTTTTTACATTTTCAAAGTTTAAGTTAAATGTCAATACGTAAGTCCGTGAGAAATCTACCACCACCTTGAAAGGTAGTTCTGCTGAAAAGAACCAGCGAAAAAAACAACAGTTGCTCTCTTTAATATAATATTTGTTTACAATATCGCAATACAATAATTATCTATTTACTAGAGTTCACCGAGTGGTCGAACTTCGACTATGATTATTATTGATTTTTTTTATTTATAAAACTAAAGCTTGTCAATAGCTATTAAAATAAAATAAAAAATACACAGATCGGTTTACAAAGTGTTTATTTTAATTAATTTAATGTGTTTCTAATGTATTTTATATAAAAATATTAGCTTTCACACTATATCTCCATATAAACTTTAACTGTGTCAAATTACACATTCCTCCGTCCACGTAATTTTCTTTTGCAACAAAGTTGTACAAAGTTTTTACTTTACATATTCAGATTTGTTGATTCATTTGTGGTCAGATTTCTCAATCTGACCACAGACTTTAACAATAAACAAAAGAGTTCATATGCGTGTGTGTGTCAAATACATGTAGCGTGTGTAATGTTTTTTTTATTGATTTAATGTAATACTATCTTAGATCACGGGATGGATCTCGATGGATGTCCGTGACCATGGATGCTGTAAAGCATTCAAAACGTCGGGAACCAAAAATCAAAATAAATCCGCGAAATAATCCGAAAAGATAGTTTTATTTAAAAATGATTTATTGTTTTTTTTATGCATAATTTAAAAAAATAGCATTCTGCACTTCTTCTCTATATACATTATAAGTGTGGGAAATTTCATACTCCTCCGCCTGCGCAATTTTCGTGAAAAGGGGTACAACGTTTTTGCTTAACGTATTAATAGATAGATAATACTCATATTTAGTGCTTACGGATATGGTAAAATTATTTTATAACAATTATTTAATTGATATTGTGTTACAGCATGCAACAGAACATATATGGGAGACGTCGGTAGAACATATGAGCTTGAAGTTCGTAGACCAAGAGAAGATCACCTTCCATTCGTATGCCATCTTAACTTCACTGCAAATGGTGGAAATTATGGTGACATTATTCAGGTAACTTAATCTCTATTTTTAAAAAGTTTATTTATTAATCGTTAACTATTTATTAATCTACTATTGTAATAAAAGTGCATTGTTTTGTAAAATATTACAGTTTTTGGTAATTTATGAAACTACGAGTTTTTTCTCAGAGCTTCAATTAGATTTTATTCAAATAGACTTTTAAAAGCATTTTTTGGTTTATTTAAGTTACTTCTTACATTTATATGTGTAAAGTCTTCTAAATACTATTCTAGATCATTAGTTATTGCATAAAAGAAAGATAAGCAAACTGTCTCAATTAAAAAAAATCGTAAAAAACTTCTTTTACACAAGTTTTTTTTGTAATATGAGAAGATGTAATAATTACCCTCTTTGAGGGGTCGATTTTCTCCTGAAATCTTATTGAATCAACCATGCTTAAGATTTTTTATTTATAATTAAAAAGGAACCATGAGTAGAATAGGCGAAGGTATTGTGCAATATAAGCACCAAAAATATATATATTCTAAACGAGTACCGATTGGTCATTCATTCTACGTGTAAATTATTTAATGGTTTAGTAGCGATAGGCCATATAATCTAATATCAACGAGATTGACTATCGACAGTTTGTCATGTTATGGACATCAAGCTATAATTCCTAACAAAGCCTAACTACAGAATCTTGTTGCAGTTAACATTTGACACGTTCACAGTAGGCAAATTTGTGTCATTTACATCAGATGGGTGTCCAGACGGACATATGACTATAGTGGAAAGAAGTCCTTCTCCACCCACAGGCCAGTGGTGTGGTTCAGCGTGGGGATACACGGTGTATTTTAGCGAGTCAAATTCAATTAATATGACACTCAGACTGGACAGATTGAGTCAACAGGTATGTATGAAATGATATTTGGTTAAAAACTATAATATTACTTTTTACATTCGACTTTGCCCGAGTTAGTCTTTAATTTAGTTATAACAGTATTGGATCTAGTAATAGTAATAAAAATCTAGAAATGTTTTTGAAGTGAAATTTCTTTATAATCGTTGTGATTTGAAAATTGAAACTCGATGAAATGAAAATGCGATACGAGAAAGAGACAAACACACAAATATATAGAATTTAGCCGGCGAGAGAATGAGATAGAATACATTTATTTGTAACTGTTTTTATTGTTTGACAAATATATAATATTATATTCTTTCCATATATGATATTCTATAAATATATGATTGTAATATGCCTAATGTGCCTTATTTAAAATTATTGATTTAGTTCAATTTAATTTCGATATTTGCCAAAGAAGTTTTACTTTAACCGCGCGTAAAGATTACACGCACCCATTTTTTTCGAATTTTTATATTTTTCTAGCAACATTAATTTGCGTTTTCATAGCACATAGGTAGTGAATTTATTTTATTTTTAAAGTAAATATATACACTTGTTTCCAATATTCTTTTATCTATACTAATATTATACAGAGGTAAGTTTGTGAGTTTGTGACATTGTAGGGGATAATCTCTGGATCTACTAAACCGATTTAGATGAAATTTGGTAAGAACATAGATTGAGACCCTGGAAGGACATAGAATACTTTTTATCCCGGAAATCATCCCTTAAGGAGGTGAAAATGGGGATGAAATTTTGTATCAGGAAACAAGCTTAAATAAATATACTTAGTAATGAACATTTACCACAACATAAGTTTCTCGTTTCAAATGTAGATCTATAAAAATAGATATATCGATATTATTCAATAACTAATCCTTTTAACTATCTCCTCAAAGGCAATAGATACATAAATAAAATGAGTGCAATTAACTAAAGTGGAATGCACCTAAGCTGTATCAGGTGTAAATAAATGGCACTAATTAGAGAACTCGGTGGAATCCTAATAAACCAACAGATATTAATGGATATTGTATATTAGATATACATACATATTACGTATACGACACGTTTGGCTCAGTTTGTAGTGACCCTACTTGCTGTGTCAGCGGTCGCGGGTTCGAGTTTCGCTGGAGGTATTCATTTGTGTGATGTCTGTACTCCAGTCATGGGTGTTTATATTTATAATATTATGTATGTATTTAAAGTTATTTATGTGTAGTGTATCAACTATCTGGTATCCATAACGCAAACCTCGGAATATGGAACTGGATAGTGATATGTGTTAATGTCCAACATATTTATTTATTTATATTAACTTAAAATATTAAACCTATTTTATTACTACATATATGATTATTGCTTGAAACATTAAAATCAAATATATTTAATATTTTTAATATTTTTATTTTTATTATAACACAACAACAATAAAAACTATAAATTAGATAACAATATACATTTACATTTGAAATAAAAATTTACATATAATTAATTGATTAATTTAAAATTTATTTATTTATTTATTTCAAATCTAATCAAAATTTCAAATTTTGTGGTTGAGATCCCCTTTTAAGCAAATAATTTGCCTGTATTAGGAGACCCCGCCCTTTCATAAAAAAGTAATTTTATCTTTTAGCTGATTATAATATTATGGGTGATACTACAAACTTAAATAGATCAATTAAGACAAACAAAAAAATAAAAAATAAAAATAAAAATTAAAAATTAGCGTACATATATTTGTTTGTGTATTGTGTGTGAGTGTGCGTGTGTGTATGTGCGTGCGCGCGCGTGTGTGTGTGTGTGTGTGTGTGTGTGTGTGTGTGTGTGTGTGTGTGTGTGCGTGTGTGAGCATTTAATGAATATGTTCTAACAGTTTTTCCGTATCATTGTAACTAAGGGTTTTTATCCAATCTATTAATGTCTTTTTGCATTTATGGTAATTGTAGGGGTAAACATAAATTATACTGTTAATTTTATTATATAATTGTGCAGATCTTTTATCGAATTGCATTGACGCAAATGTTGTTCTTGTTTGTGGGATTTTAATTATATTTTCTTTCCTTCTTTTTAATGTTAAAGACGCATCATAGAAAACAGCCTTATGTACTTTTAGTATAGTTTGAGTAATATACAGCTTTCTAACTGAGAGCAGTTTGCTAACTTGGTACAGATTCTCAGTTGGAAATGTAAGTTTTTTAAAGTACATACATTTTATTAGAGCACGTTGTGCTCTCTCAAGTTCAATAAACTTCGTTTTAGCAGCTCCGCCCCAAATCGGGATACAATATGATAGCACTGATTGTACTAAGGCAAAATATATTTCATTCAAGAGATTCCTGGGGCGAGATGAGCTGCTAAAAACTTGTTTAGGGACTATGTGTCTTAGGGACCGAAACATCCAGCTCAATTTTCTGACTCTGTTTGCCACATGATCGATTTGAGAATGCCAAGATAATCTCTGGTCAATGAAAACACCCAAATACTTAGCACATGGAACCCTCGTTATATTTAAGCAACTGCAGGTAGTGCCTTTATCATTATTACACAGATGTATTTTTATATTGAAATCTTCTCTAGGTTGTTTACGTTTACATATATAACAAAAATCAATAAAAGAAAGTTTTATCACAAATGTTTGACGCGTTACGTGATTAAATAACAGAATATTATTTACTCTCGCACGTATGATATTGATGTAGATATAAAGAAATGTAGTTGGAATATTTTTATACGTACTATTATATACTCTTATAATAATACTAGCGACTCATTTGCTTCCCAATACAAACTTTCATCCCCATTTCCATCCCCTTAAGGAATGATTTCCGGGATAAAAAGTATCCTATGTCCTTTCCAGGGTCTCAAACTATCTTCTTACCAAATTTCATCGAAATCGGTTTAGTAGATCCAGAGATTAATTACCTCCTACAACGTCACAAACTCACAAACTTACAACCTTACAAGCTTTACCTCTTTATAATATTAATACCTATAGATAATTTTTAAAATATTATTAGTTTTTGTAATATAACCGATGTATAACCGATAAACTGAAACTTAGTATAACCGATGATACTTGTTCAACATTTCATGCTATATTATTTATGGTGACGGGGTATAATTTAAAAGCTTTTATACAAAAATAGTAAATGTATAAAATAATTGGTGTCCCTTAACAAATCGGAAAGAACAATAAAACGATACGTACAAAGTAAAGATAATTTGTGGTAGCCATTATTTATTCGGCTGCGTCAACATTAGTAATTATAAAGTAGTTAGGTATGTTTGATGTTGGTATAATGAAGCCCGGATCGATTGGGAAAGCTTTTTAATAATACCAAAAATATGGCTTACTTTGAAGGCAATATGAACTTGTATGTATGTAGTTTTTAAGTCCCACTGCTGGGCACGGACCTCCCTTCAATGGGAGGGATCATGCCGGAAGTACGGTTGGCGGACTTTACATGACAGTCTTTTCGAAAATTTGTTAGGTTCTTTCAGAGATGAAGGCTTCCTCACGATATTTTTCTTCACCATGAGACAAGTAGGAATATGTTGGAAATGATTTACACATAATAATATCAGAGGTGGATGACTTGGGTTTTGAACCCGCTTCACTCGGATGCCCAAGCGACCACGTTACCACTGGGCTACCACTGCCTAAAATAAACATAATATTAAATTTTAATTATTTGTTAGTAAACATGACGCTCTTTAAGATGAAATCGATACATGAAGAAATTTAAATTCATTAACATTTAACATCTTTAAAGATATTTTTGAAATAAGTATATTATATTACACCTATTGTTTATGTTTAATGTTAAGACTAAGGCATCAAACGTTAAATATTTTTTGCTAAAGATGTTAATGAAATTATTATATATAATAATATGTATATTCGTAATATTTTTAATATCGTATATAAAATAACATAAACTACCATTCATCTCTACACGTGATTCTTAAGTTACACGTTTCCATAGCATTGAAGGTTTTCTTAAATTATTCAAATCATTTGTATTAACAAAGTTGATAATTTAATTAAAAACCATATAGTATAATATACTCGTATTATCATTATAATTCAATAATTAACAACATTCGCTTATGTTATACATACACGCCGAAATCCGCCTCGATCCTTGCATTCGACGTCTAATTAACAGTTTCGGCATATCGCAAAGTTAATCCCAATATAAATGAACAAGAGATAGATATTTATCTTCATTAAGAGTGTCTTACTAAGCACCCTTTTATGTTTAAATGACGTGACGCAACTATACATGTTTTCTGTTGTGACTTGACTAATATTCCACATCGCCCCGCTTAACGGTTCGGTGCCCTTCTTTATCTCGCTTTAGCAGCCATATTATCTGAACCAAGGGTTGAACTTTCGATCAATTAATTAAACGATGATTACGAACGCCCTTCGGTCCGCTAGATATTATCAATTAAGATAATGAATATTATTAAAGCCCTAATTCAATAACATAATAATAGCGATCTTATTCCCTTTAAAGAATTGATTTGGAAACTGCGGTCAACGTTCGATTTAATTTCATAATTTATGTTTATGCCCAAGGATTAAAGTTACAATGTTGTGAGGCTCATTTACTATAATTTAAATTTAGAAATATGTTATTTGATAATAAGTACCTACTAATTATGCAAAATCAAAACTTACATTTTGAGAATTACATATACATAGATTTTTGCTAGTATATATATATATATATATATATATATATATATATATATATATGTGTATAGGAATATTATTATATTCCTAATGCTTATTATTGCGAATACATAATATTATAGTAAACTTTATACTACTAATTAGTTTGATATTGTTTTCTTTTCATTAGATAGAAATTGTTCATGTGATTTCAGCATAGATAACAATGTTATGACAGAAGTTTTAATCTAAATTAATTATCTGTATTAAATATTACGAGTATAATAGAATATGAATGTACACATAACATTATATTTCAATTATTTAAGTACAGAACATGAAAGCGAATGCTAAATTAAATAGCTAAAGTCATAATTACGGTCGACAATTACAGGACTGTGTAACAAAGACTGACTTAGTTAAAACATTTACATATTTATTTGTACAAAAACTATTCAAATAGTAAAATAAATTGTAGTAAAGTATAACAATTCGTAACAAACAATATGACATGGTGTATTAATTAATAGTGATGCCTTTGGTTTTAGGGTGTGGGATACAATTTCGACTTCAAGTTGGCATACAAATTTCTAAGACGAAGTGAGGCACGATTGCGGTATGGTAACGCGACGTTGGGGGCATGGAGGGGGGAGATGGTCCCTGGAACCTACTGCGACCGCATACTTAGCGACTGCGATTTACGCGCGTGTCGCATACAGTCCCCAAACTTTCCTGGAGTGTATCCTCGTAACGCGACATGTACATATCGCATTGAACATACTAAGGTGGGTATTAATTAACGTTAATTACTCATAGTTTATTAGAAAAGGTCTTAAGAATTTGGTCATAAGGTGTAGATGAAACGATTTCTATATACTTTGAAATCTTATGTACATTGTACACCTTTTTACCTTTGAGAAAATAGTGATTTCGAAATATTCTATTTTCTTATTATAGAATATTATATTTTATAGCCAGCTTTATAATGTTACCAAAATTGTAGTGCTAATACCTTTTCAAGAGTTGATTTTGAAAGTAGTAGTGATAATGATTGTAGTAAAAATCGTCACTATGTTGACTGTGTCCATATTAGCAGAAAAAAAAAGCAAATCAGGTGTTACTTTAATCGTTATTTTTATTATATTTGAATAAAAGCTTTCAGGTAGTATTACATTCTTCTATACAGATAAATAAAATTGAAGTGTCTGTTTGTAATGTTAAAATAACAGGATTTTACTAAATGCATATGAAATTATAAGAAAAATACAATTTTCAAATTTTTTGTCTGTCTGTTTGTCTGTTTGTTCCGGATAATCTCTAAAACGGATGAACTGATTTTGACGGGACTTACACTGGAAGATAGCTGATGTTATTATGCTACTTCTATTTTAGAAAAAGAATTAGGGTTCCGCTCAAAAAATTAAAAGGGACGAACGAACGTGAGTCACTAGTTTTAAATATATTTAGCTTGCTAGTGTAACTGAATCCATCTAAATTGGTTCTAAGGGGATCTAACAGTACATTGTACAATGTACATTGTGTCACAAAATTATTATATGTTCATTGTACATGGTTGTCGCTTGTATGTGACTGGTACTTGGAAACGAGCTATAACTATAGATGTTCACGATTTCTTATAATATATTGTAAATGTCTTCTTTTCTGTCTCAGACTATTATAAAATAAAAATGGTCTAGTTAGTTCTGAACACAACTATTTATAAAAATGATCACACACGGTATCACAATCAGTGTTACACAGGCGAATATTTTAAACTTTAATTTATAAACATGACACTGCTATAACAAACTGAAGCAATTTCAATGATAGATACAAGTTTATATAAGTGTCTAAGATAATATGTGAGACGCTTGTAGAATGGTGGTAAGAACGCAAAGCTGTGGGCGTTGAAAGGGAATACTTTAGCGTGTATTCAGTAGAATATTAAACGCCAGTTATTAATATTGGTACATATAATAATAATATAATTCAAGTACTTGAATATTATTTGCGTATGTGTGAAGTAAGTGTTATTTACTTTTTGGTAATAATTTATTAAAATAATGATTACAATGCTAGAGAATAAAACAAAGAACTTGTATTTTTCTAAAAGTACCTATATATAAAATAACGGTTTCTCATAATATATTTTTTACTTATACATAACACCTATAATTTGTCATATTATGTACATATATAACTGCCTATTATGTATACATAACATGTTAGGTCCTTCGTCATAAGCAGATGAAAAGATATAATGATATCCAACTCCTGTACTATAAAATTGTATCAATTAACATAAAAAATGTATGTTTAAAAAATTGAGCTAAACACATTACTTAACATATTTCTGAACCGTTCTTTAGACGTCTCATAATAAGCGTTAAATTAAAAGCCGCCTTAAACAGCAGTATAAAATTACGTAACCCTTTACATCTGGGTTAAGGGTGTCGCGAATTTACATTAAAACACATTTCACACATCGTGTAAGTTCGTGGCTCACGCGGCTGTTTGTATTAATATTTAATTTAAAATTCGCACCAGACTCCGCCACACAAACAATGAACATTATTTATGAACGATATCACTCTCTGCATACAAATGGCAGCAAAATAGGCTATAAAATATAAAGAATAAGGAATATTTTTCATTGGCAAACGGTGAATGATGAATATTTTTTCAGATACCCGCCGATAAACACGTTCTGTTAGCAGTGAGACAAACTAACAGCCACAAGATACATATCAAAGATCAGATTGTGAAATATGATAGAAGTCAGCGAGTGCTCAAGTGAGTATAAAAATATGATAAATGAATATGCTTTCAATGAAATTGAATAGTAACTTATATTCTGAAATAGAGTTTGAATTTCAGTAGTAAAACAGGGTAATTTTCCACGTGACTGTGTCATCAAATGATAAAATATTCCATATCGAATGTACATATATTGCAATGAAACGCGTTCTGAAAAAAATATTGACCCAATTGCAAATTTGTGAATTATAATATTCATAACTTTTTACTATGTAATAATTATTTTTACGTACGAGTAAAAAACCTAAATGATAATACAATATGACACTTCGCGAAATAAATTATCTCTAAAATCTTATCATTACTTTTATATTATCCGGGCGGCTTTGTAACGTATAAATGGGTCTAAAACAGTGCCGTATAGTAATATTATATTATTTTGTATTGTTTTAGTCTCATTGCATATTTTAAGGAACGTGTCGCTAGGAACTATTACTAACAAACACCTATCGATTTAGTCTATAATTATAAATTAAAAAATTTAAAAAAAAACCCTATGCAAATTAATTGTCAATTAACGATTGCACTGGCACGCGTGGAGCACTTAATCGAGTAACTATAAGCCAAAATGCTTTACATTATTTTGAAAAAGAGCTGATAATCTTACACTGCTGGACCGATATTAACCAAACATAGCTAAGAACCACCGCAAGGAAACTAGCTTTCAAATGAAAAAAATCACACCGAAATCGATCCATCCGTTTGAGAGCTATAATGCCACAGACAGACACACACACACACACAGACAGACATCGACGTCAAACTTATAACACCCCTCGTTTGTATCGGGGGTTTAAAATTCAAATAGATTGTCTGCATTTTTGAACTATTAGAAATTGTAATATACTGTGCATACATAACTAATTTGAATAATTTTAGAATTTGGGATCAATGTAACGTGGTACAAGATTATCTTACCGTATGGGATGGTCCTACTCGAGACTCGCCTGTGCTAGTGCGTCTCTGTGGAGGAGATGCTGTACCAGATATAGTTAGCAGAGGACCTAATATGCTACTAGAATTCCATACTTCACCTTATGATAATCCATTTCACCCAGTTCCTCTGAGTTATCTACCAGGATTTGAACTTGAAGTACAGGTATTGCTGTTAATATTTCACGGTTTTTAACCAAACCGATTAAAACAGATTTTATTTTTTGAATATATTCCTTTAAGACTTAGCTTATTTGTTAAAAAGAACTATTAACTTTAAAATTGAGAGAAGAAAAATAACTTGGCATTATAAAGTTACAATCAGAATACAATCTATTTTTAAAGAGTTTAATTGTAAAGTTTATGTTTTTTCATGACATCTTTAAATATTTCTAGTCACTTTCATCTCTTCCAGGCCCACTAGAAAAATATACTTCGACCATATCTATAAAAGGTTATAATATATTTAGAAATATTTTTTTTCTTTCTCAAATACGAAAAATAAAACTTCCTTTAACAAATCACACTCTCAAGTATTTGTATTACCTATATAATTCTTGGCAGGTACTCTACGTGGACAAAGATTCCCATTCGTACGTGAGCTCGGATGGTCGATGTCGATTCGTTTTACGCTCGTCGGATAAAACGAGTGGTGTCCTGAGGAATCCGCGACACTCCTTACCACCGAACACTTCTTGCGTTTATTACTTTCAAGTAAGTTTATTTACATATTAGGCTTTCACGGTTACCAGCGTTTGAACAACTTTTGATTGAACTTGAATTTTTACGGATATTTATGATATATTCATATTTATAGTTAGCCTTGATCGCGTTCACAGTTTCAGGTCATAGAATTAAAGGCTTTGGTCAAGACTTAAATAAAATGGCTGTAGTGTATTATTTCAACGGCACTTTTAAAGTTTATTTAAAAAACTAGCGATTCACCCTCGCTACGGTCGGGTTCGTACCTAGTTACGTTTTAACGCTAAGTATAGATTTCACAGAGGTGCGATATTTTTCCGTAGTAAAAAATATCCTATATGTTGACCCGGAAAGCTCTCATCATACAATAAAATCTGCCCAGTGGTTTTCTCGTGATGCGTTCCCAGACAGACAGACAGACACAAATTCTAAAAACTATTCATGTACAGATTAGGCACAGCTAGAATTTTATCTCTATAATATAAAAATGAATCGCTGAATGTGTTGCTAAGCGGAAATCTTGAGAGCAGCTGAACCGATTTCGCTAATTCTTTTTTTAGAATATTCCTTGAAGTACGAAGAAGGTTCTTAAGGAGAGAAAAATTTAAAAAAATGTATGAAAAAGTCTAAAAACAACACTTTTCTATATTCCTATACAAAAGATTCATAATAATACTTAAAAGTCAATTTGAACTTTAATACCATACCACAAAATTTAAGTGTTAGTTGAGAGGTTCCGGGAAGGCAAAACAATCGTATACATATTAATGTCAATATTATTAACAAAAAAAATCAAATTTATATGGCTAACGCTGGCTAATAACTATTTATATCTATTTAAAACGTACCTAGCGACGAACCCGAGCGAAGCGAGGGTGAGCCGCTAGTTATATATATAGATTTATTTCTGTTGTACTCTACCAACATGGAATAAATCAAGAGTGGTAATAAAACGTGTACAACTTTGTATAAAAAGGATTCAGGATTTTGAATGTTTTCATCTTATAGTATATTCTTCAAAAAGTAACGAAAATATAAGGATTGTACATTATATTATATACATAGTTTAACATAAATGTAGGTATATATTATAAGTATATAATTGCAAAATTATTATAAATTCAATAACGTTGACTGAATATAATTTTATAAAACACCACATCAGTATAGTTCGACAGTGAATTGAGTACGATTCTCTCTTGGGAAAATTATAAGTGAAGGCCCCTCACGAATAAAGGCATTGACATTTACGTAATTGTTATTTGAGTTTTTATATTTTAGCCATAATTGATCATAAATCGTTGTGATAACAAGATTTTTAGATGTGTTATAAATTTGTTTGAAATTGAAATGGAGTTTTTAATATAATAAAATTATTAGAGGGATAAAGCTTTGTTCATAAACTTATCTACGCTGTTAGTTCTATATTCTTAATATAAGATAAGCTTAGTAGGTACTGTTTTTTTGATAACTGAACTCAAATATACATTAATATGAGAGACTAGTTAGTAATAAAATAGTAAAAAAGAATACAAATTATAACATAGCAGGGAGAAACAATAAATATTCCACTTAACGACAAACTTAATATTTGTTTCTATGAAACTTCGACTTTGATAAAAGTAACTGTAGGTCACGCAAAAAGCCCGTATCTTAGTGACAGACAAACAACAAAATAATGTTTAAATATTTTTCTTTGTCCTTTTAAGCAGAGACGAAATACCTATATTATTTTTGTATGAAAGGTGTGCTGTGTGCTGGTGTGCTGTGGGTTCACGATAGGCGGAAGGTAGTTATTTGAATTTTGCTCGAATACAATACATATAAATAAAAACAATATAAGCACGTATATAATATACTCTAGATATTAGACTCTAGAGTGATATTGACTGATATTTTTGATTTATTTAGATTATGAAAATAAATTCATTGTTGCATATTCGTATTATTGTACACATAGAAAATATATAGTGTTTGATTTCATGTTTAAGAACTCTATAAAAAGTAATATGAGCAAGTAGATTAAAAATATGAAACGGAAAAAAAACTTAATTTATCTCAAACATAATATTTTTTTCAATCATTGAGAGATAACTTGATCTGTTTAAGAAATTGAAAATTTCTTTATTATTAAAACTTAGACAAACACATTTCTTTTTCAAGTCGATACAAGAAGAAGAAGATGAAGATATCTTATATAATATGTACATTCTAAAATAAAGTAATCTCTAATGGGTATGAGTAAAGTACCTGATCGTACAGCAATTTGCAGGATTTATGTTTTCAGGGTCGAAACGAAATGGTATGGGTTTCACTTGTAAAGTAATGCGCGGGTACGAAATGGCAGGGTTCGAGCTACAAAATTTATTTTATGTATACATGGAGTACTAGGTCACTTTCTAACGTTATGGGTGGCTATGATTAATTTAAATTAAATGAAGAAGAAGAAAACCTATACTAATATAATAAAAAGGTGAAGTTTGTGAATTGTGAGTTTGTGAGTTTGTGACGCTGTAGGGGGTTATCTCTGGAGCTACTGAACCGATTTAGATGAAATTTGGTAAGAAGATAGTTTGAGGTCCTGGGAAGGACATAGGACTCTTTTTATCCTGGAAATCATCCCTTAAGGGGGGGAACAATGGGGATGAAAGTGTTTATAGGGAATAAACCTAGGAACGAACCCGAGCGAAGCGAGGGTGAGTTGCTAGTATTAATTATATATTTATTTAAATAAACACTTTAGTACATAAATATTTGTTCTTTGCACTCCCTTCCCGCCCATCAGTAGGTTTGATTATATGGTAAAAACAAAACATATCATTCCGTACCGTAAGTCGTAATGACTTCTTTATTCTAGTGCTAATGTAGATCCTGGGTCGAGTTCGGGTCGGGCCAAATATATTCGCAATTTCTCCACCACCTTTAAATATAGTATGAATATATTTGGCGTATATACAATCCGAAATCACCACAATTAATTTTAATTACTTATAAATTTAATCCCAATTTCTTATAAAAATAAAATCAACTGTTACAATATATATTTACATACGAGTATGTGTGGGCTGTCTGATAATGCATGATAATGCAGACGGTAGCGAGGTCGATTTCTGGTTGGGTACCTAATTGGTATTTGCTATGCAAATAGTAGTACTTACAGCAAGTGGTATGCTAATTAGCTTGCTGATCGTCTCAAATATTACAGCTATATTTATTTATTCTGCCAATGCACGTCTACCGAATTATTTCCAATATCAAAAGCTCTTATTTTATTTACTTACTAGCATTGCCCGCGGCTCCGCCCGCGTTCAGATGACCAAAAACTAAATTCTTAGGTGTTACATATTAGTATACTCTTACATTGCAGTTTTTGTATTTTTCCTCAGAAATAAGATATTTTCCCGCGGTAAAAAGTATCCTAGGATCGCGCGCTACATCGCCCGGTTTATATAGCTTGAGCAGGCGGTCGAGCGATGCGGGGCAGAGGGGATGGACTCGCCGTAGGCATCTCAATGCTCGCCAAGCATTAAAAATGTTTCGCTACTAATTACTTCTAACAACGATATCTCAAAAACTATTCATCTGATTGATTTAGTGTAAAGAGCAATTTTAATCTGCATTAAATGACTAAGCTAACTAAAATATTCATTTGGATAAGGATTAATACCGAACTAAAGAAAATAACTTTGAAAATAACGTAATGTTTTTAATTAAAAATGTTAACATAAAAGTGGTTATTGTAAGTCAACCGTAAGAGATAGAGATATGCTATCGCGGACTTTTTTGTAGCATTTTTATAGATTTTGAATTCTCTAGTACATTACTTAACTGTATCTTTGCTAGTTTACGCGGCGTTCGCGTGGAAAGTTCCCATTTGGCGAGATTTTTTGCGACCTCTTCAACATTTGTCGCCGTATTTCAGCTAATTTACATAAAAGCATAATAAATTATATACCTAAACCTTCCTCAAGAATTACTCTTTCTATTGTTGAAAACCGTATAAAAATCCGTTCAGTAGTTTTCGAGTTTATCGCGTACAGACAGACAGGAGGACAGACAGGAGGACAGAAAGACGCGGCCGGGGGACTTATTTTTATAATAAGTATAGATGTAAATAGTACCCATATAATAATATTGATTTTCTATATATTTCGTAAATAGTATATGCACTAGCAGGCTTATGGAACATTATTAGACCACATAATCATAAAATTGTTATAGATTGCTGTTCTATTTACGAGTATAATGTTGTGATTAAACAAGTGTTTTTTTCATCTTTCTTTCCTTTATATTGCACCCTAATACATAAAATATAGTTAATGAAGTGAAAATTTGCTCTTTGAGCAGGATGCTGTGTTATGCTTTATAATAATTACAAATAAATATTTTCAGCTATATGCTATACTTCAATGTTCTAATTATTATTACTGTTATTGTGAACGCACCTTTATATATACCAATTCCTACACCTCAAACTTGGTTAGAAGAGATCGCTGTTTTAGTAATAAAGCAGTCTGTACATTTTTTTATCTATAATTAGTCTGCTAATTTTGTTTGTGGATACAATAAAAAGTTAACTTTGAGCACTCTTATTATTAGTGCTTAACTAAAAGGCAACTTAACGATTAAGTATACCGGTAAATTACATTAGGACAAATATCTATATGATCAAATTCCTATCTGACATTCCAAGCTTTCTATGCAGAGGCCAGTGAGAGTAGCGTGAGAGTAGTTATTATAATTTACTATTTTTAGGACATTAATACACAGCACTATCTAGTTCCATGGTAAGCTACGAGATTTGGTTTATGAATACCAGATAGTTGATACATTACACATATATTGTCTTTAAATAAATATATATTATTAAGTATAAAGACCTATGACTGGAGTACAAACATTCGTGCTCACTACACAAATGAATGCCTTCAGCTGGACCCGAACGCGCGACCGCTGGCACACCCTACAAACTGAGCCAAGTGTATCGTCCACCCAATAACAATTATTGCTGTAACAATAATTATTTCCAAAAATATCAATTGATTCCTTTGTCCCCCGTAATTCTAGAAATAAGAAAGTACATTTAAAGCTAATTACGTCTTTACTGCTATAGTTACTTAGAATAAAGGGTAAAAATAATATATTATGTTCTGTGTCAACCAGTTATATCATACTGAATAACGTGTTGGGGTGGATCAGCTAAAACTTTATTGTTGAGACTGGAAAGGGCCCAGAGAGCGGTCTTAAAAGTTATATCCAATAAACCAATCTATTTCCCTACGGCGGATCTATATGCCCTTAGTAATGTTTTATCTGTAAGGAAACTTTTTGTTATACAAACCATTCTTCGTGAATATTCTGAGGTTCTTTACATCCATAGTATATTATATACTAAACGCAGATCTAACACTTTATGTAAGATTAATTCTATAAGAACTACGGTCACAAAACGTTATTATTCATATCTAAGTTATTTGTTTTATAAAAGCCAATAAATTATTGAATATATAAATATTAAATACATACTAACATACTAATATTATAAATGTGAAAGTGTGTCTGTTTGTCCTTCTTTCACGTCAAAACAAAGTGACAGATGCGTACACCTTGTCGTGGTGGGTAGAGGGGGGAGGGGAGGGGGAGGTGGCTCAGTAGTGCCCGACAATCCAGCCGGGCGCGAAGCTAAGAAACGCACAGGGAGGTGGCCCACTTCGGTGGGCGATGTACCATGCGGGTTGCTCCTGGTACTTCTCTGATAGCAGAATGGATTGTGGAGCAACCCCATGGTTTTGGTTGGTTGATGGTTGTGGTCTGTTTCGACAGACCTATCATTGGAGCGTCGTAGTTGAGTGCGTAAGCGATCCTACGACGGATGGGGAAAGGTTTTGTTGGGTTTTAGTGGGTAGTATTGGCTTTTCGAGCCAATGAATCCAATATAACCTGTATGTTTACAAGTGGTATGCGTAAATTCATTTCCCAACATTAAAAAGATACAGTTAGGTTGGTTCGAGAGATTATCTAATTTCACGGGAGAACACATTATAATGCCACCCAAAAAAATATTAATGATCAGAATAACATGAAACTTGGTATTAATACACTTCAATACAATTAAATAAATTCGTGTTTTAGCATTTTTTGAAATTCCCCCTTTCAAAGAGGTAAAATAGGAGATGAAAGTTTTAATATTTATACAACACAGTTTTTATCCGTAGTTCCAGGCGATGAAATGTATCCCATGATGTTAATCAATGATATAACCTATCTCCTCTCGAATTTTACTCAAATTCGTAGAGCCGTTGTAGCATAAAGAAGTAACAGACAAACATACACACACACATGCTCACATACTTTTGCATTTATAATATTAGTGGAAAAATAACTAATAATATTATATTTAGTTTAATGCTACCAAAAATTCTTAGAATTTATCTTTTTTTAGGGCCGACCCAACGAAATTGTATGGGTTTCGTTTGTTAAGTATCACGCCACGGGGACGGAGCCGGCTGGCTTTGACCAACAAAAGGATTGCTCTTCGGAACTCACTATTTGGGATGGAGCGGCCCCAGACGCTGACCTCGACAGGAAGGTAATTTGTTAACAATATTCGATATTATTTAGTGAACCTTCAGTTATTATACTGTGGTCAATAATTCTCTTTAGATACCAAATGTTTTCGTAATTTTAGTTTGAAATTGATATTAAAATATCATCGACGGTTGAGATGAAAATAATGAAATTATTTCTTAACTAATCATTTCTTATAAATAGACAAACGGAAGTTAAATGTTGTAGTAAATTTTAATAAACATACAAATAGGTGAGTTACAAAAGGCTCTAGCAATTTAATACTTTCGCCTTTTATTAACATATTTCGGAATGTTCACCATCAGCAAAATATTACTTCAGAAAATTTCATAACAAATTTCATTACCTTTAATTGGAGTACAGGAGTCTACGACTACAGCACCAAACCAGTTTAGAATAATGAATTGGTAAATAACGCGTAACAAAACTTTCGTAGTGCGGAAGTCTATATAGAATATAAATATAGGAGCAATATAAAATTGGGTGGCGTTCTCGCTTTTATTCGTACCATTTTACTTTGCCAACTACCGTTCCCACTTGACGTCGGGAGCCAAACATTAATTTTCTTTAATGTGTCTGAGTACTCTTACCGACTAGTGACTTCTCTCACTGCACTGCGGTGTTTCGTTCTATTCATTCGACATTCCGCCGTTTGCATTAAGAATGGATGAGCTACGCTCAAGTTATTTTTTGTTGGCACTTTAATCAGAAAAGTTTCTCGTACCAGATAGTCTAAGTAAATAGTGCACCTGGCTGGAGCAAATCACTTCCTGGCGGTAGATTGTATACTTCGAAAGTAGGCCACGCTTTATTCTTCAGAGGAAAACATTATTGCAACCATGTTAAGTATGGCTGTTACACAAAATAAAATTATGGTTAATCGTTCTTATTTCAAACTTTAAATCTGGCCATGTTGTTTTTTTGCCTTTATCGCTATTTGGAAACTAAAACTGGTACACTGTCTACAATGTTCCTGAAAAATAATTAAGTATATCATCCCCTTGTAAGTATGATTTTTATTTATTTTTATGAACCATCTATTCTTGAATGATATGAATATAACCTATTCTTTTAAAAAACAATGAAAATCGATTTAATTTGCCTAACATAAACGCACAAAAAAGCCGCTAAATTGATACCTCTTCCTTTTTGAAATTAGTCAAAAATTTATGAGAAAAATACATATTATTCTGACTTCGTTACTTATCGATTATATAGCTCAGGTACGTCCCTAGTAGTATTTTTGCCATACTTTTTATTTTTTTACTTCAAACCGTTTAGGCAGCGCACACTGATAAAACAACTAATGGGCCTGTTTTTTCCGAATTTATTAAAGTAATAATGATTTTTGACAATTATTGCACATTTTATCGGAATAAAAAAATTGCTTTGCCATTAAATTAAATGTAAATTTCTAATAGTGAAAGAATTATTAAAATCAAATTAGTATTTTCAGATATTACCTACGACATACAAGTATACAAATTACACGTCTCGTAAATATTATAGAACATAACGGACGTAGATTGGAATATTGTTTAAGCAATTCTATTTTAATAAAATATTTTTTGTTCATAGTTGGAGATGACGGATAAGAAGTCGCTCTTAGGCTCCTTTTGCCGAGAAGAATCACCGAGACTGTGTGATCACGCCTTGTTGTCCAACGCCACTCGAGCTACTCGGCCATGTGCGCCAAGCGAAAGTTACATCACAACAGGACCAGCACTTACAATCTTACAGGTAAATAAGCTCACATTAAAAAAAAATATATTTTCCTAAATATTTAGTTAAATTGTTGTGGACTTTAAACTAGTGCTTTGAGTGATTGTTTTTAATAATGATATAATTATATTTTATTTTTTATTATTATTATATTAATACTGTATCGATTTTATGTACTAGCATTACCCGCTGTGCTAATTTGAAGTTTGCCTAAAAATTTCATCAAAATTGCTCCAGCCGTATTTGAGTCCGTATCCCTACGTACATATACACATCGATTTTTATATGTTACTAAAACTTCAAAATTCACTGTACCAACTTATATCAATCATATTATATACGTCTAATAGCGAAATGTGGCCGACACAATTAATGTGCCTTCAATGTATCAGGGCCATGTGTTTCTAATGCGAAATTTAGATTCAATTTAGGAATTATTATTCCTATTGAGCTATAGCTCAAACATCATGATTTGACTAAAATAATATAAATGTTGTTGTTTTCTTGTTTTCAGTAAAATTATTTGTGGAGACAATGTTATTTTATTATAATAGATATCTTTTATATCTCATTAAAATAAATTACACAATTCATTTAAACTTAAAATGAATATTTAGGAAAATTCATTATATTTTAATAAAAAAATTATTTAAAAAAATATATATAAAAAAAACCGACCGCGTAAAAAGCGAACTAAAAAGATGAAAACAAGTTGACATAGAAACATAATATTGTGCAGTCGGACACATTTTTTAAACATGGCGTATATATTTTTATAATTGCCTCTTAAAACCTGTATTTTAATAACATACGCAATTGATTTACACTAAAAAAAAATTAAACACATAAACTGGCGCCTTAGATACGCCATTTTGAATTTTAATGATATCTATATAGTTTGTGACATTGACAAATCGAACGACGTATGAATCATCAAAATCGGTTAAGGCATTTAGTAATTACGAGGGAATATGGAATCGGACATACATACATACAGGTCAAACACATAACCCCAGTCGGGTAAAAACAAAAGTAAAATAAAAAGAAAGACGAATAAAACGTTAAACGTTTCATTTATATGGAATAATTGAAAAGTTTATCCTTATCTGTTTAGTTATATTTAAAATCTAGCACAGCATCATACTTTGCATCTGAGATTTTCAAGAGAATCCTAAATAAGCTTGCTCTTGTTACTCAAACAGGGTCGCATAGAAATCCTTTTCTGAAGGTCTTTTCGGTCTTTTCATTGCATCGCAAACATTGTGCTTCTATTTTGGTTCACTCAGCTATGCATAGAGCAGCATGATGTTGCTTGCGCTCTATGAAAAATATAACGTACAAACACGAGTCGTGGATGTCATTAGTTTCAGAGCGGTTGTAACATATCGTTGCTTGTATGGTGTATACCTTAAACTTTAATCAGAATGTAGAAATCTAAAATATAGTTTGATTCGTAGCCATTTTGATCGTAATTAATGGTTTTTATGATACATAAAACATATCTAATTCATATTATCTGCTACATGAAAGGTCCCGAGTTCGATATAAAGTTTTGACAACTACGCAATTTCAAGTAAATTTTCCTAAAAATAAAGCCCGGATTCAGAAATATCGCTCAATACGCATTGTCTTAATACCAGTGAGAAGCGGAAAATGAAGTGAAAACTCTTTATGGTTTTATCTGTACTGCAAGTAAATGTTCGTTGAATTATAAAAAAAGAAAAATTAGTCGTCCACGACTAACTTTTCTTTTTTTATAATTGTTCCAACAACGAGAAAAACAAATAGAAGGCTTAAATAGTAGTACATGAAAAGAAGCCATAATTTCTACATAGAGCTTATTTATGAAATTTAATCTTTCTAACCTATGATACACGCATCGTGGTATATGAAAGTGCAACAAAGCATTATATAAAAACTATTATTAATTCTCAAAGCAAAATATTACATTTATATATATAAATGTAGCTTTTGATTAACGTGATGTATACATTCGTTCTAAAGTAATTTAAAAAATATGCCTAGATAACATAAATAGTTTAAAGCTAGCTATTCCTCTTTGTGCATAAAATATAAAGCGCATACAAACGAAATATATTAAAATGTAGTAACTATTTAGATTTCATAAAGGAATGTTGCAATTAAATTTTCTACTCACATTCAAAAAGAACAAATATATGAAAAATACCATGTATTATATGTACCTAGTGTTAATTTATACACAATTCTCAATTCGTAGAATATAAAAAAGCAATCACTTGATTAGAAAATGCTGAATGCACTTTGAATATTCGAGAGAAAGTAATTTATTTGTATAGAATGCGAAATTTAATCAAGTAAGCTAAATGCTTTTATACCTATAGTATCAGTAGGTAATTTTTAACTATGCCTCCGTTCGTGTTGTATATCAAGAAAAAAATAAATAATCCTATTATCTATTCGCTTCCTAGTAATCAAGTTATATAAGTTCTTATTCTTAATTCTAGATTTACCCCATCTCTGATACAAACACTCCAATTGGTTAAGCTATAACATGCAGAGGATACACACACTCAACTTTCGTATATATAATATATTTTATCATACATTATTCTCTTAGTTAAATTTCTATATTTGCTGATCCATAATACCAGCTTTCACCGATCCACGCACGAGACAAGCCACAAATCGTTCTCGACGCTGACATATTCCCAGCTTTTGTCGATTACGTGAACTGAATATCATAAAGGATTTGATACCGTAAACTCGCTGTAATATTACGCAATGCTATCAAATTTTCTATTAAATAAATATATTTGTATTCATTATTTACGAAAGAGATATTCATATTATGTGAATTGAAGTAAAAAAGAAAATTTAGTAAGGCGTATTATATACTAGCAACTTATTTTCGCTTGACGCGGATGTGTCCGTATGTGGTATGCCGAAGTATTATTTCAGATCATAGTCCATCTGTACTAAATTTCCTTCAATGTCATCCAACAATATGAAGTAGTTACAAACATACACACATACATACAATCTTTCTCAATTATAATAGTAGTCTAATTATGTACATTATAAGAAATAAATAAATTTGTTGGGATATTAACACACAGCACCACCTAATTCGATGGTAAGCTACGAGGCTTGTGTTATGGATACCAGATAGTTGATACACTACACATAATATATTACTTTAATTACATAGTACTTATTATAAACACCCATGACTGGAGTACAAATATTCGTGCTCATCACCCAAATGAATGCCCCCAGCGGGACTCGAACCCGCGACCGCTGGCACAGCAAGTAGGGTCACTACAAACTGAGCCAAACGTGTTGTCATAAAACTTAATATTTAAAAATAACCTAATAATAAAAAAAATATAATGAAAATCTATCCATATTTGGTGAAGATCTAGAAACTTATCCACAATAAACATATAGACGAATTAAGTACTTTTTTGAAGTTGGTTAAAAATAAGATACTTATATACAAAATTATCGCGTTATTGAGAGTTATGTACATAATGCTATGACTGTACATTCACATGAACACGAAATTAGCTGTCACACCAAAGCGAAAAACGGATGACGTAAATTTTTCAAGTTCCCATTGTATGAGTTGGAATTTTTCCACTTTGTGACATATTCACCGGGCGAAAGAAAGATAAGTCACGCGCAGAGTTGCATTCGCCACAGTGAATAATGCAAGGAACACGTGCACTCTCTCTCCGCTCTCTGGTTGCATCTCCGTGATGGAATAAAGTAAAAATGCAGTATTACAACTAAATGAAATATTTATGAAATACGGACTCTTTGTAATTTATTACGATTTTAATATAAATATTCTTAGAAGTTAAATAAATGCTTTTTCCATTAGACTTCTAAGATATTTACTTAGTAGTGTTAGTAGTGATACTTACTACACAGATTATGGAGGATTTACGGTTTTTTGTAGACGTATAGCAAAGTATTAAGTTAGAATGTTTCATTTATCGAGATAAATACACAATCTGTTTGATTTTAGAGTTAATTTTTAGATTATATAATGTTGGTATCGCGGTGGCAATTGTCATTATAAAACTAGATATGAATATTTTAACATATAAACATATTATATTTTAATAAGTGCAAGTATATTAATTATTCTTACGAAAATAATACCTCATACTTCATTTATAATTTATATTATAGACTCATTAACATTGGTATTATTACCGACTGTCGCGTAGAAGAATGTCCCAGTTAATATAGAGAATCTGGTCGCAAGCAAGTTGTTAAAGTCACAAGCCGAAAACTGCTTTATTATTCAATATTAAATTCCACGTTGAAGGACTGAAGCAAGTTTCCTAACTAAATATTTGAAGTTTACAAGTAATTGCGCGCAGTTTTGTTTTATATAATTATTATTAATATATTTTAATGAATTTGAGTCAGGTTTTTGATTATTTAGTCATTAATTAGTAAGATATTTATCATAACTTCTTTCATTATGCTATAGTTGATATTTTGAAGTAAATAATACTAGACAATACGCGTTTCACTCTAGTTTAATTCGCTGGCTCAAACGCAAATTTTAAGTAAACAGCTAATTTGCTCTGTAGAAAGCCGTTAATAAACTTTGCACAGATGTCAGCTAGTCTAACAAAAGCTAAGTAAATAACATTTTCCCACAGGAGCTCCGTCAAGGTTCAGCGCTATATCCTGTCTCTTTCGTACTAAGATACGAATTCGTAGATGTGAGCGAACAAGGACAACCGTTAGCGGACTCTCAATCGGCATGCGATAGGGTCTTCAAGTCAGCTCTCACGTATTCAGGGAGATTTCAAGCACCGCGTGCTATATTTTACTATGGAAGAGGTGGTTCTCAAAACCTTACGTGTGTCTTGAGGTAATTTAAAAATAATGAAAAAATACCTTTGTAATTGTCAATGTTCTGGATTGTTTTTACGAATAGTAATCAATTTTATTATAAGTTAAAATAAAACATGGTTCATACTCGATTTTATTTGCAGATTTGAAGCGAAACATGGTGAAAGAATACAACTTACATTTACCAATACTTATTTCGGCAATAAACTCTGTAGCACTCATAAAGATTCCCGCACTAGTCGTTGGAAATGTGACAGACCGACGAGAAGGATAATTGGCGGCGAGGGTCTAGCCCAAATTATTATTACCGAATATCCCTGGGAAGGAATTCCAATTCAAAGGGATTGTTTATGTACAAATCGTTCCGAACCTTTGAACATTCATACATTAACTGCCCCAGTTGTTGAAATAAATTTTACGGTGACTATGATGAATATAACAGAAGATTATGACGACTTTGCTTTCGAAGGCGAATACAAATTTGTTCCAATTGGTCCAGGAGATGACACAGTTTGTTCTACTGGTTGGGGTAATAGACGACTGAGAGGTAGCAGTGGAGAAATCAGGTTGTTTGATAAGAGAGAGGCTTCTATTGCTTCTGAGATTGTTGGTGATAGAAATGTTATTTCTGAGAGCGTTAGAGCTGAAGTAGCATGTGTCCATAGACCATGGCTTATTGAACCCGGAGGGGATGGTGTTACACCTGTACAGGGTCGATATTTGTATGTCAAAATCCCTGGGTATGATATTAATTCTGCTTCGCCATTTTGTCCCACTCCCAACCGCTTGTTTATATATGAAGCCCGTGATACGTCTTTATTTCGAGAAATATGTCCTGACATTGCTAGCACAATTGAATTATATTCTCCTGGGTGGAAATCATCACAAACAACTATAGAATCATCCTTAAAACCACATGCTAAAAGTTATGTAATTGACTTTCTCCAACATGAACAAGCAGATTATTCTATTAAATGGATAGAAATAATGAAAAAACCTTCAATCGAGCATGATCCAGAATCAAATATATTGCCTGCGTCTGCAACTCTCGACTGTAAATATAAGTAAGTATACATATATTGGTACATATTTCACGTACTATTTTACGTCATTTTGAATTTCTGCCTATGGCTTTGTCCGCGTAGTGTTTTTTTTCTTTTAACGGTTTTGGGCAGCGCTATCTCTGTATATTTTTAGAAGTATACGATATACATTAATTTGAATTATAATGATTTCACAAGTACTTCTCCCCTGGTTAGAATATCTTACTTTTATTCAAGTTAGTTTGACATTTTAAGCGTGATTCAGTAGTGAACATAAATATTTGGGTGTTCATATGATACAGATATCTGTATACTTGTACTGCCTTGTTTTTTCGTCATAATATTTGATAATATTAATAAAAATAATATATTAATTAATAGGATTTAATGTGAATATAGACTACTGATGACATTTAATATTCTTTTTTTACTGTTAAATAAACAGCTATATATTCTATTTAAAATATAAGAATAATATTTTTATTTGCTTGTGACACTTGCATATGTGAACTATTATATATTCAGAAGAATATTTATATAAATAAAAATAATGCTATAAAATGTGTAATGAGTAGTTTACTACTATTTTTTTTTAGTTTACAAGTATCTTTAAATACTAATAACTTTTTGTCTTTTTAGCTGTCCAGAATTAAACGCGTGTATTCCTCTAACGCTGTGGTGTGACGGTAGTGCTCATTGTCCCTCTGGATATGATGAAGATGATTCCAATTGTTCTTTTAAATTATCCTTACCTACGCCCTACGTAGCTGCAGTCGCGGGTATTGGTCTTCTTATATGTGCAATTGCTATCGCCCTTTGTGCATGTAAGAGAAGAAAAAGAAAAGATAAAGAATTCAAAGCCAGATTAGATGGTGCCTTACCACCAGAGGAAAGACCTTATGATCGTGCTAAAGTTAATGGCGTTCAAGAAAATGCAAGACAGCCATATGCTACAGTGCAAAAATATGCAACAATAGATAAATACAGTTTAAGCCAAAAGTATAGTGCTGGTTTAAATGATGCCAGATACTATGATGAAGTGGCACAAAAAGATAAGCTAGATACTAGATATGCTAGTTTAGGTCGAGCTGGTCGTGGTATTCGAATGGAAAATAATAGAGGTAACGGTTCAAGAAGACCTATGCCAGATTTAAGCTATCCCGATTTGAAAGACGGTTTTTGTTGACCCTCCCCAGATCTTTTAGAAACAACTTTGTAATTATTTAATTAAGATATCAAAGTTTCATCTTATGTTCATCGTATAAATATATACTGAAGACTGATTTTGGCGGAAGTGCCTCGCTTACCGTTTCGATCCATTGAAGTTGACAAATCATGTGCTTTTACAGTGTTAGTACATATATTGTTATTCAGTAAACAATTTTATTCCTGGCTTCAAATTCAATGTAGTGAAGATGATATTTATTGTATGTCATTTTCTTATATCTTTATTATTTTGTACATAATTATGACATCTTGTATAAATTACCTTCAGATTGTGTTTTGTTTATAATTTCTAATTTTTGACTAAGTATGACATATTATATAAACACTTCATCAAATAACATATCTGAATGTACATAAAATGCTTGACAATACAATTTTAAGATACAAGTTAAATCATTATAAAATGTAATACCTACTATTAGTGAGTTGTTAGCGATTAAATTGAACAAAAATTTACAATTTGGATACACAAATACTTTAACACGGTACTAAACTGGTTATTTTATACGGCGATATTTCTTCGCAAATCCTTTGTAATGTTCACAAATACGAACAATTCTATAAAGAATTTAGGTATAAAATGAAATGTGATATAGGTTGTAAAAAATAGGTAAGTCAACAAGAACTGTGTAACTTAAACTGGTTTCCTTGTGTATCATATAGTTTCTTGAAATGTGTGTAAATGTATTAAATAGGTATATATAATTAAGTGTAAATAAATTATAGAATAAGAATTTTTAAAATCTGTAAGTAATTTCCAAGTAAAAGGAACATTAAAGTCATTTCTTAAAATAATATGGTGTTTTTTTGGCCTCGCTTCGTCTACAAATGATAAGTACAAACATAATATTATAAACAAAAGATAGAACACTGTACTAGTATATTACGATACTGACTATTAATATTACGATAAAACTATAATGGAAACTCGTTAGGCTTAAAAATGAAAATTTTTAAAAGGGAATAAATACTAGTGAAGTTCCCAGTTCCCACTATGTTCTAGGGGTAAATGTTTTTTTACATTTTAATTCATAGCTTTGGTTTATAGCTTAATTAAGATTCTGATCAATAGATATAATTAATTAAAAATCTGTCTATCGTTACTTTTTGTCTTAACCTATAAAACTTTATATAGACGAAAATTTGAAGTATTTTCCAACTTCAAAAAAGCAGGAACTTAATTTGGGAGTACTTATGGTTTTTTTTTGTAGGTATATCTGACAGGAAATATTTTACGTTATGAACTGAAACTTTAGGTTTTTCCTTATGAGCGATTCTATAGAAATCAGAAAAACTTCACTCGTGAGGGTGATATATTTACTTTTAAGTACATTGGTTTTATAGTTGGCATGCGTTTTTCTTGAAAAAGACAGATTGTTATCGATATTAAAGAAATTAAAATATTTTTTGATCACTTATGCATATAATACAATATATGGCCCCTACAAGAACTTTTATCCCATGTAAACAAAATTCTCCATGTGGATACAACATCCAGCAATACCGTCATTCTAAGTAGTCTTCTGTTTTATACATATAATACACTAATGTAATACGCTTTGACATCCTTAGGGTAAGTCAGGACAATACTTTTAACCATTAAATAAAAAAAAATACATTAAAATAATAAGTTTTAAAATGTCTATGAAATAAGAATAAATTTTACTACTTCATTCACATCTGCAAAAATTTTAAAATCCATAGAGTTGGTAACTTAGACAATTTATATTTGTCTCGCCTAATAATTAGATTATAGGCTCAGGCTGCATTAGTCTGTCCACTTCGTTGACGTAACGAGCGCTGCGCAAACTGAATTATCAGATGGACTAATTAAAGCTCCGATAGTAACAGACTTGGGAATAACAAGGGAATATTACGAGAGATGTATATATTATTATTTTTTCATATTGCTGGCATTGTTGAGTAATCTTAAACGAGCTTAAATTTAATTTTGTGTTTAAAAATTAAAAGTTTAATATTATTATAATTTTAATATTATATAAATAATACATATTATGGCGTCGTACAACATATTACGTATTGAATATCTTCAACATAGGTTTGTGGACGGCATAATATTAGAAGTTGTAATTTTACATCGATTTACTTTATAATATACTTATTTTATTTTTTTAATTAAATAGCAAGCAGTTACTTTCAGTTGCACTAGGCATTTGTTTCATGACTAACATTTTTGGAAAGATCGAATTACACATTTTATTAACCATGCCAAATACCATAGAGGTTCTATGTTAATTTTGTCATAAAAATAATATTATTCATACAAAGCCTTCCATATATGTCAAAAATCCCTTTTTATTCCATAGGTCATGCAATGACAAATTGGCTCAAAAATTTCAAGCATTCAAGTACAGTGTGATCAGGATGATAGTGAATCGAACAGGCCAAGTAACTTTAATATACCTTATCCCATACTCCACTCTAAGCCTTAAAAATATTATAAAGTTTAATTTTTACTTAACGTTGATGCTCCCCAGTTATTTTTTAGTCAAAATCTTTAACGTACAGGCACAGAAAATGTACGATTGAATCGTGTGTATAAATAAATATGTATAAGCAGATAAGATAAATATAAAATAAAATATATAATAATAATAAAAAGATGATAAAAATAAATGTCAACAATAATTTCCCATTTCAAATTATCGACTAGAGGGTAAGGAGGATATAACCAGTTTGTTTACCACTTTTCACCTACTTAACGATGAATGCGTGTTGGATCTCGTCCAACAACGTACTTTTGTCTTAATCAGCCAAAGACAAAAAATAATATACTCCGTGTCTAATAATGCAATTTCCCCTGCATAATATTTTTAAAATTTTTGTTATTCTTATCATGAAAAGTTTTAAAATAAAATTAAGTTAATAATAATTATCAGTAGGATGAAATCTTTGAATTATATTTTTATTGAAAAATAAAGGCAGGAACTTTAAAAAATCTAGGTTTTTTAATTTAAATATTTATACATTTAGTTTAAAAAACATTCTAAACTAAATTTTAAACTTTGAAGCAATGTTCCTTTAATATTGCCGGCGTAAGTATATAAACTATAATTTTTATCTAGTTTACATTACCGTCACGTGTGAACCGATTTTAGTCACTATTTGACTAGAAATGACTTTGATGAGGAAATATACAGAAAAAAATTAAAAAAAAGATAAAAATAATCACGTATCTCATAAGCAACTTTAATTTAAGTAGGAATCTACAACAATAGGTATGTAGATAAATAAGGACTCCAAAAACTGCTTAAGGACTTACAGTAAAAGTCTAACTATGTATTAAAAAAGTTAACAAAGTAGTATAAAATGGAAGATAAATCTTGTGCAAATGCCCAAGCACAAATAGCTATCGAACATTTTTAGTGTCTAACACACCGAATGCGGTGTCGTATACACGATCTAAATTTCCATATCTAAATGGAAAACGGCCCTACACAATCAATTTTGTTCCCACATTCCATTTGAAAAGTGCACCTGTATCTACTGAGGATATACGCTTTTTTTTACTTTTTTTTGAATTGGAATTCAGGATTGGAGATATGTATGTATATATATCAACAACATATAACCTATATTTATAAATGTAAATATTTTATTTATTTTTAAACTAATTCTAATATCTATCGGTTTATCCATCGGTTTAAGTAAATAAGTTGTGAAATGAAATGAAGTTCAGCTGTATTCAATTAGATTTAGTATTTTCGAATCATAAATTTATGGAGAGAATAAATATTAAAGAGAGTTAGTGTAGTCAGACTGTTAGAAAGCTGCCACCGGCTCTACGGTGCTAGAGTTTCTCGCCAGCGATTTCTGCTGAGAACTACTAATAAACTCAACAGATGCTCTTTTAAATATCGATTTTATAATATAACGTTATAGCTATCATTCATATGAGTTAATTTATTTTAATTTACATCAACAAGAACCTCTTGAACAGAGTAATAAGATTAAGTAGAGGGCTTACTTAGTAATATATTTTTAATCTTATCTTAAAATTTTATTGTTATGTTTCATGGACAAATATATTTAAAATTAACAGTACAATACAATACTAAAAACGTAATATGCTCACTAAAACAATGTTATTAGAAGTTCGATACGCATAGAAATTTAATCAACAAAGTGCTTTTATCGTTTATTGCTTGGAGTGCAAATAAAAATCAATAAATAATAATATACTCAATAGTCTTGTAATGCTGAGTGCAAAGTAATTGTATTTATCGATCGCAATATTTTATATGAAATTCAACTTTATATTTCTAATATGTACATCTCACTTTCGTACGAAAATAATAAAACTTTATCATAGATCAACAATCCAATTTGCTTATGAAGTATTTACTATGCATACTATAGGTTAACTAAAATCAATCTAAAGGCTCATTGATAATATATAAAACTATAGATGTACATTGCACAGTTCTTAACAAAAAATTCTTAAAAAAGTGGCATCGTTATGCGACTTTAAGTTAAACTAAAGAATAAAAGTCAAAATTGTTAGTGCTGATTGTGTTAAAACAATTTAAAACTCAGGCGTATGAAAACAAAGTGCGTTATGTCACGTTTTTTTTTGTCTTCCGAAAAGCAATGGCCTTCAGAATCAAGGTAGAATAAAAGCTACATAGAGTAGTCGTTGTTATAATAATTTTATGAGAAAAAGTTAGATAATACGAGTATGTGCATTAAACTTATTGTATAGGCGTTTACTATATATATTATTAATTTAAAAAAAAATGAATCTCAATATCGCATTCCTTCCTAATAAAACATTAAGTAATGCATTATTAGTTATAAATAAAAATAATTTGAAAAGTGTCCACTGCCCAACGACAACGACTCCGTTTGAATAAGAATAGAGTCATGTATATTAGTCGACTAGATATATAGAGACATTGTGAAATACTGTTCTTATACCAAATAAGCCATTATATT